TGGTTATTGTGTTTCTTGTAGATTCAGGAGGGGAAGTGCCAGGAAAAGGAGAATTTCCACATGAGGTGATGTGATGTGATGATAAAGGTCCTGGACTGGAAAACACCAAGGTGACCCAAGGTAAGCAAACTCATTAATTTGAGTTACTCTGAGAGCCAATAGTGGTTGTACAAGTCAATCAGAGTGACTTTATTGATCCAGCAAAGACTTGTGGCACAGCTCAGCCTTAAGCCGGGATCAGCTGGATTGCTGTATCTGGAACGCCCTCCCTGCATTCGCTCAGGATGAAAGGTAGAGAGAAGAAAACAGCCCAAAACAGTAATCCTGACAAGATTTTTCTTCTTTAAAACACTGAAAATGAAAAAAAAAATGAAGTGTGTATTAGGAAAGTACATGAAAGATTTGTGTTATGGATGACCCTCAGCTACGACCACACCAAAGTTTAGTTCAGCAACTTTTAAAGTTCCTGAATTAAAACAGCTAGGGCAGCTGTGGTTGAGTAATTAGAGCAGTCCTCCAAAGAGAGAGTTGAGRGTTCAATTTCACCACTATTCAGTCACGTGTCAAAGTGTCCCTGACTTGAGCAAAAATTGTTCAAGTCAACAGCATTTGTTAGCAAAATATTTCATAAACAGCTGGCAGATTTTTATTGAAACTCTCTGGAAATTACTGAATTTACATCTATAACTGATTTATTTTTGTAGTCAACCTACTTCAAGATGGCTTCCACAGGTGTGGAGCAAACACAAATGTAGCTGTGACTAATAGTTTTACATTGATTGAGCTAAACTTGGGTCATCCGTAACATGTAATCTGAAGACTAACACATCGGGACTTCATTACAACTTCCTTTGGATTAAAGCGCCTATAGTCCAGTCCTAACCTTTATATTTAACCTGTGGCATAAAAGGTGGCAAGAGACATGCCTTCCTTCAAAGATTAAMAGGTCTTTGTTTTAGTATTAGATATTGTCATAGAAAAACATATAATAAAAAGTTAATAAATKTGTGTGTTTGGTAGATTTAGAGCTGGCCGGTATGAACCAAATTTTATAACATGGTATTTTCAACATTTTCACCGGTTTGACAGCATTTTTCTTTTCATCACAGGTCAGCTGATAATAAAATGTACAAACCCTGCTTATTAACTTTTTTCTTTTACTGTACCTCTGTC